AGTTACATTATTTATAAGCACACACACTAGCATGTTTTTCAGACCAAATGCTATCAGATTACATATAATTTAATCAAATTAATTTATTTTTTGCCTGCCAGACATCAATGTGGTGTTTGGTTTGGTTACACAAACATCTTGATTTATCCTATATAACTTCATAAATAATTTTATATGAATAAGTTGGATCCAGTTACCGGAATAAAATGAAAAAGAAAAAAACAAAAACAAGATCATTTTAAAAAATGAATTTAAAAATTTTTTTTTAAGTTAGGGCTGTCTCTAAGGTGCTATTCTCTCCCCACCAATACTATTAAGTTATCCAGAATGTATACTAACTTGGCTTAATAGTTTAGTAATATATGGAGAGAAATCATTTGTGTGTGTGTGTCTTGGTGCAGAATTAGCCCATTTTCTGTAATCTGTGGAACATAACTAACCTCATACTGTTGAACAGGTTTTCAGAGAATGTATTATGAATTTGGTTTAGATATAGAGACATCAATAGGAAAAGTTCTACTGTAATTATAACCTTATTTTAATAATAGAAAAGTCAAAATAGAGACTTTGATCATGTTCATGAACATGTACTTGAACACAAGTATTGTAACAATGAAACACTGTAAAGATTTACACTGAATCACCATTGCACTGTTGATATAGTGTAGAGAAACCATTATAGAAATGGTAACATCTTACAAAAATATGTATTATTTTAACATGTTGTCATTAGATTTTAGTTTTTCTTTTTTAATATTTTTAACAAAAAAAGCATAGATCCACCCATTTCATTGTATCTTTTTGCAGGGTTTTGAAAGAGTATAGTATTTAGCCTCACAAATCATTATGAGAATATTTACTAAATACTTTTCAGCCTTTTCCCTAGGAACGAGGAAAAACAAAAAGCTTATAAAACTGTTGTAGTTTCATTGTGTTTATTCCTTTTAAAAATTGAAAAGTTTTACAGTTCTGTGAAACGTTAAAAAGTCAGCTTAAAATTTTTCTTGTGAGAAAATATTGTACATGATTCACATGATTTCTTAGATTTTTCAATAAGCTATGTGAAACTTCCTGTTGGGAGACAATTGTTCATAGGTCTCTGGCATTTGTACATGTCTTGTGAACATAGGCACTATCTGCTTTTGTTCTGGACTATCTTTTAAACGATGTTTGTATAGTGAAAGCGGCGGAAGTGGAGATAGTGTCTCTCTCTGGAGCAAAGGGCAGGCGTGCTTACTGCTCATTATAAAAGTTTCAGATTCCCTAAAATTAGAGTTCCTCCCCTGTAACACAGCCCATTGCATGTGCAGGTGTCACCTGGCTCTCTTCATGTTACCCTGTGAAAACTGGGGCTCAGAGAACTGGTGCAAGAAAATGTTGCGTCTCTGGCTAGTGGAATTGCTTGAGTAATAA